TTATTTAGTTCACAGTAGTTTTATTATATAATGGCACATTTATTGATTTCATTGGACTTTTATTTCATGATGCCACATTTATTTCACTGCTTTATTTATTTCCATTCTCATATGCAAATTAAGGGGGCGTGGTTATAGTCAGACCAAAGCGTGTGGGTGCAAGGAGCAATGTCTGACTCAGAGAAGAGCATCTCAGAATTATTGAGAGAAGCTGCAAACTGCCTCGATGGTATTGCGATGCGGCAGCCACCCCCTACAGCTGCCAGTGTGTGCCAAAATGGTGTCCCCTGACAAGCCATGTTGATCAATTAGATCAGTCAAAGGCCAGCATGCTGTCCCTTTCTCTGAGTCAGACATTGCTCCTTGCACCCACCCGCCTTGGTCTGAAGATAACCACGCCCTCTGCATTTGCATATGAGAATGGAAATAAATAGAGCAGTGAAATAAATGTGACATTATGAAACAAAAGTCCCATATAATTAATAAAAGTGGCATTATGAAATAAAAGTCCCATAGAATAAATAGAAGTGGCATTATGAAATAAAAGTCCTGTGAAATAAATAAATGTGCCATTATGAAATAAAAGTCCATCACACTGGGTTATTTAGCCAAGAAGTCTGTGTAAAATATTTCAGTTAAATTTCAATCACAGCTGTCTCTGACGATAAGAGACAACACTGCAACAATATGTGTACTTCAGATTTTCCTTGAATTCAGAATCTAATTGAGAGTAATAATGTACCCTCTACAGATCATCCACTTTCTAAGGACCAGAGCTCACCCTGTCATGCTTAAACAGGTACAACAAACCCATCAGTTCTGTGTTTCTGTTATTTCCTGTAATGGGTCTGCACATCATCTTCATCATGCCATTTTTGTGCTCCAGTCTCCAGTGTTGCCTCCAACCATAACAGATCAGATCCGACTATGGGAGCTGGAGAGAGATCGACTACAGTTCACAGAGGGTGAGCATGCTTATTTGTTAATGTGTCTGCTCTATGGATTAATAGCCATTCATTTATTATCTATATCATTTATCCTTTGAGTCTCATGGGGGGCATGAGCCAATCAGAGCTGAAATTGGGCAAGAGCCTGGCTCCACCCTGGACAGGCCGCCAGTGTATTGCAGAGAAAAACAATCGTGTAAATGATTGTTTGTCTCTTAGGGCAGTTAAGCGACTCAAATTAACCTGAGCTGCATGCCACTGTGTTGTGACTGCTACACTGATGTATGGAACAGAGAGGATGACAATTGCTGTTGTGCTGGCCATTAATGTAATTGCTCACCCATCTGTTTGTTTTTGTCCATATCTCTCTCAGGAGTTCTGTATAACCAGTTCCTCTCCCAGGCTGACTTTGAGGTGCTGCGAGACAGAGCTCAGGTTTGGTATTATTTCCTAAAAGAAATCTACACACAATGAGCCACAATGTTATGACAACATACAAATTATATGAATAGTGCAAGTCAATGTCTGAGATATATTAGACTGTGTGAACACTTCTTGTCAACACTTTCGATGTGGAAGATACTGTATGTGAAGTTGAAAAGACCTGATACAGAAAGGCTTGTTTAATGCACCCAGACAGCAACGGTAAGTACTTACTGAAATACCCTGTTATGACCTGGTGTTGTCATCCGTCTTGTAATATATGATCACAAGAAGACGGCTCTAAGTCTGCCTGTTTACACCTGTCATTTAAATGCATCCTGATTGTGTCTCCTGTCTCACGTTCCATGTTCAATATGGAAGTAATTGTAAGTAAAATGTGAAATATGACCATTGAACTTGAATTTATATAGCACCTTTCAAGAGACCCAAGGACGTGCTACAGTGTAAAGTGTAATGGGCCTTGATGAACAGGTGGTTTTTTGAAGCTGTCCAGAGATGCAGCATTGCGGATTTCAGTGGGGAAATACTTTCAGAGGGTTGGGGCTGCAACACAGAAGGCTCTGTCTCCAAAAGGTTGCAGTTTGGTGTTGGGGATGGAGAGCAAGCCTGTGTTTGAGGCGGGTTAGGCTTCTGAGCGGAGTGTAGGGGTGGAGGAGGTCAATATGGTGGGGCTTAGGTATGGAGGGATTTATAGGTGACAAGGAGGAGTTTGTAGTTGATGCAGGCCTTTATCGGGAGCCAGTGGAGGTGAATGAGGGTCTGGGTGATCTGCTGCCATGGCTTAGTGCTGGTAAGAACCCTGGCAGCAGAGTTCTGCATATACTGGAGTCTGTTCAGGGCATTGTCTGGTACAGGACTCCATTGCAGTTGTCCAGGCGGGAGGGGATGAAGGCATGTATGAGGGACTCTGCCATGGAGTCGGGGAGTGAAGGCTGGACTCTGGCGATGTTTTTGAGATGAAAGAAGGCGGATTTGGTGAATTAATGTTGGTTTTACCCAGTCAAAGCTTAAAGATGTTTTTGTATGTGCACGTGTGTGGACGACAGAGATGTTCACAAGTCTTTTTTTTGCAAGTCCAAGTCAAGTCTCAAGTCTTTGGTCACGAGTCCAAGTCAAGTCTCAAGTCTTTGTGGGGTGAGACTTGGTCAAGTCTCAAGTCTCTAAAAAATAAAAGTCTCATGTCTCTTCTGGTTGTAGTGAGCACTTTCTCCCCTTGTGTGAGGTCTGTTGCTTGAAGAAATGGGGCCAGAATTTCAACTAGCTCTTTCAGCTGACTCCATTCTCTTGCTGATAAGCACAGGCCTTTTTGTCCTTGGGCTTCCAGAAGAGTATTTAGGCTTTGAGGATCCAGGTCAGTGATTGCCTCCACAAGGCGGAGAGATGTATTCCATCATGTTGATACAGCAGAGGGGATGCTTCGATTGGCTCCATACTGTCCCTCAAATGCTTCTTTCAGCCTACAAGTGGAATGAAGTAAACGGCAGAATTTTGTCACTTTTGCCTTTGCACTGTTCAGTCTTTGTCTCCTTCAGTCCATCTCGCACAACAAGCTGTAATGAATGTGCAAAGCACTGAAGTCGCTGTTGACGGCAGCTGCTCTGGATAGATTCCACATCTTCCTGGAAATTCTCACTTATATCTTCCCATAAGTTGCTGTTTTCTAGGTCGTCTCCATCTTCACTCTCAGTTGTTGCAGAGTGGAAACAAACAGTGAAGGCTTTCCTCATATTTGACGCATTGTCACAGATAATGTAATCTAATTTGCGTTTTATATTGAAGTTGTCACATATCTCCTCAAATTTCTCCCTTATTCTTTCTCCAGTGTTTGACCCTGTGAATTGTTCACAACTTAAGAGAACTGTTTGCAGGCTTGGGCTGTTTTTCTCTATTTCCATGAAGTGGGCTGTTACCCCCAGAAGCCACGCATGCTTCGGTCAGTCCAGATATCAACAGTCACAGACACATTGTCTTTTCTAGTTTGGATTTGATCTTGGTCTCTTGGTCTGCTGCAAGCTCACTCAGACGTCTGGTTACGATGCTTCGACTTACTGGGCAGTATCTCTCCTCTACCACTGACATGAAATTCTGGAAGCTAGGCTTGTCAATCAAAGACAGAGGCAGATTGCATGAAATTATGAGATCCTGTATTATGGATTCAGTAATGGCCTTCTGTCTGGGATGGCTCTGGCTGTATATCTGCACACCTTTTGCCTGAGTCAAGAATGCATCAAGGCTGCTCTGTCCCTTTCCACTGTGCTGGTTTTACACTTTGTTGAATTCAGCAAACCTGTACATGAACGACATGGAAAATGAATGTTAATTATAGTATAATCAATCTTTTATTTCTGAATATAGAGAGGGTTGCTAAAAAAAATAGAGACTAACTCCGTGTAACAGGAAAATATTGCTAACATTATTCAATTCAATTCAATTTTATTTATATAGCGCCAATTCATAATTTACATTATCTCAAGGCACTTTACATTTAAAGGTCAAGACCTTAAAGCAATATTAACATAGAGAAACCCAACAGTTCCCACAATGAGCAAGCACAGGCGACTGTGGAGAGGAAAAACTCCCTCATTAACAGGGAGAAACCTCTGGCAGAACCAGGCTCAATGTGGGCGGTCATCTGCCTCGACCGGTTGGGGTGAGGAAAGAAAAGTAAGGGGGGAGGAAAGGAGAGATGGGTGGAAAGCGGGGGAGAGAAGAGAGAGATGAGGTGGAGAGAGAGAGACCGGGAACAATTGGGCACCAATCACTATCAGGGCTGACTATAACAATAACAATGTAGTGATCTACAACAGGATTAGATATATTAATGAATTACTGAGTTATTTTAATTAATGCTAACAATGGTGATGGTAGTCGTTATTATTTAGTCGTTATTATCGTTATTATTATACATTATTAGTCATGCAATAATAACTAATCATCCTATCACAGTTATAGTAGGCTATATCTGCTGGACACAAAACTAACACCATTTACCAGCCAAATGCTGGTAAATCATGCAAGTGGCTGGTACTGTATGCTGCACTCGTTTTATGTTGTTTCTGTGTTTTGCTGATACTGATTTCGGCTATTTTATAGTTGCACATATTATTAATTTCATCATCTCTAAAAACCAAAGCACAAATTTTCCCATATTTCTTTTGCAAATATGTTCACATACCTATGTGTTTCTATATCTCTGCACTTTTCATATTGGGTTGGCGTATATAGCATAGACTTGATGTGCGATAAATATCAATGAACAGTCCCTGGCTACGGACGCAGAGACCACGGACTGGTCCACAGCAGGGAGAAGGCGCACAGCCCGGCCACAAATGAGTGGCCCTGCTCTGATAAAGATTTAATTTATTAATAAAATGATCGATCATTATGTGATGATTAGTGTTGATATTTTGGTGACAAACAAATCAACTTTTAAACTGTATCATGTCAGAGCGAGAGAGAGAAACACACACACAGCAGGGGACGCAGGTTCTGGGATCATAAATAAGCTTCACAACTATTTTATATAATCAACTGCTCATAGTGATTCATTTTATTTGGGACTAACGTCATCACTAGAAGTTTCCACAGTAGAGTTTAGTCGGAGGAGGCGGAGGGAGATTCATTTCTCTTCTTATTCTCTTGTTCAGACAGAAAAACACGTCAATGATCTAAATATCTTTAATTTCTTATCCAGGGCAGCAGGGCTACATCTGAAGAGCATGTGCGTGGCACATTGAAAACCATTCTTTGCAACTTAAGTTGTCTTTTGCGATATGTAACTTTGAAATCATAATGGCGATACATTTTCAATATATCATGCAGCCCTAGTTGGTGGGTAAAGTTTTGATTAGACTATATCAGTAGTGTTAACATTGTACTCACAAGGAAATTACTGTTGTGTCATAGAATGTGGCAACTTTGTTTACAATAGATACAGCACAACAAGCAGTTTGACATCTGAAATGTTTTAAACAACCCTCTGGTTTGCAGGATTTATCAAGAAGAGTGTGCTAGTTAGGGATGTCGCGATTAACCAATTTAAGACATCCGTGGTTTCATACGTGGTTTCATATGTTAGGATATATATATATATATATATATATAAAAGAGACGTAATTTGTGTGTGCACCGCGCAGTGTATACCTCTTTACCTTTTCTCAACTAATCAACACTTCGCTCCCAAAGAGATCAACTTCCATCAGTGACCCTTCACAATTAAAGTCCCATGCAGATACTGCTTATGATGACAGGAAACACAAATTCGCTGACCAACCTTCCACAATAAGGCAACTAAATAAAATAGCTTACATAAATTACTTTTAAATAGCCAAACATTACATTGTAAAAACTGGATATGGTACACATTTTAGTTCATTAGCTATATTATTAGCTATATATTCACTATATATTGTTTGTTGTTGTGTGTCTTTTCCCTCTATAGTATCAATAATCGTGAAACTGTGATATTTCCTCTGACAATAATTGAGGTACCAAAATTTCATATTGTGACATTCCTAGTGGTAGTGTTACATCACCAACAGACCAGGTGCTCTCTGTTCGAGCTACCTGTTTTGTCGCTAGGCTTTTATCAGGGTTTTATTCAAAATGAGTAACAGCACAGCCCATAATATGTACCTCCATACTTTATAAGATGGCAGACAGCTATCAACATACAAGATAAAATGTACCAAACGTTAATGGAGCGTACCTGTGGAAGCCCAGCATTTACATTAAATTACATTTTGAGCCCTGCACTAGGTATAGGTTTTAATAAATCTACTGAGCACTGTGAATCATGTTTCTGGACCTGTCTTATTTCAATATGTATTTGTGTGTAAAGATGATTTCAGAAATGTATAGATGTGTCTCTGGACTCTGAGAGGGTCATCTATAGCCTTGTCTTGGTGCATTTAAACACCTCTACAAAACTTTGTCCATACAGACTGTATTTGCTCTTGGGACTCCTAACCACTTTCTCACATAGGAGTTGA